GTGGGACAGGGTTGCATGCAAGCCCTAGGATTCCACACCTGGAAAAGGCTGTGTATGCTAAAACATGCAGAGAGCTGCTTTGAAGAAATGCATTTTGCCCTTGTAGCCTGTGGGATTTACTTTGTATATATTTTCTGAAAGTTACCAAAAACTCCCAACCTCAAAGTAAAACAGGGAAGTGAAACTTCTGTGCAGTTGAGCAGGGTGTGTGTCAGAACAGGGGCAAGGTTTGTCTGCCAAGGGATGCGAGCTGCCTCTACGCGACCAAAATTGAAAGATTGCTACATTTTATCAATTTTCCTTGAAAATGTGAAGGAAATCACTTTCTGAATGCATGGTGGATAACTGCAAATTGCAGTTAAATGATGCATAGGTAATGCCTAGGCTGGCGCTGATGTCGTCACATTGACATCACCTGCTGTATCAGATAGGGCAGGTGCCTGAACACAGACAGCCAAAGCTTGGCTGAATGAAATAAAGATGACACGTGAATAGGCAATTACTTTTTGTTTTCTGATGTCAAAACACAACACTCAGCAACGGAAGGCTTAAAAATATTAAAGATGTAGTGGCAAGTCAAATTATTGAAGTGGGATAAGCATACAGAAGGTGCTATTTGATGTTGGAGCTGAATCAAGCACTGGCAAGTTTGAGGGATCCTTGAAGTACTGACAGTGTGTTTGATTTCCAGCTGAAAAAAAAATCATTACAACTGGGTAGTTTTTTTTTTAGTGTTCCTACCCCTTCAGAGTAGAAAAAAATGTAAAATGCATGACCGAAGAGACTTCTACTTTCAATGTTTGTGACTTTCAGTAAACAGGTTTGGATTTGTTTCTTTTTATAACCACAACTTAATGGCATATAGATGGAGTGTCAGATGTTGTCTGTAAGTTTGTCATGGCAGAGGTGGATGTTCCTGTCTAGCTTACTCTATAACAGGGATCTTTATAAACCTCCTATTAATAATAACAACACTGTTTCCACATAGGAAATGCATCCAGCAGAATAATCTCCAGGTGCTTTACTAGATGTAGGTTTTATGTCCCACGGCTGTGGTAAAGGTGACCTTCAGGGGGAAAAAACAGCCTATTGCATTTGCTCTTAGTGTCTGCTATGTGGGTCTGAAATTGAACTTGGAAGCCACAAAAATAAAATAAAAAAATAAATAAATAAAAGAAAAGCCAAAACAACAAGGCTTTGCTTCTGTGCCTCTGAAAGCAAAAGGAAAGTAGGGTTTCATTGGTTTTAAGGCTGGGCATGTGATCAGTCAGCAGACCTTGTGCAGTTTTGCCTTCATAGCCTTGTTCAGCCACGTCTTGGCCTTTGCAAAACCTGGCTTTGTCTGACAGTCTTTGGCAAAATGGGGAGATCACTAAATAATGAGCTCTGAGTGACAGGAAGTGATTCACTCGATGGCCAAAATAAACCCAAGGAAGCTGCTCTGCCTGCCTGTGAGAGCTCCGAGTCACCATCTCCGGGGCAGCTGGACAGGGTGATACCACCACTGCTGGTTCTGCCTCAGCATCAGGGTCTTGTATCCCTGTGAGAGAAAGGTAAAGGCACAGAGAGGTTTGGCCACTCTCCAGCTGTCACAGCGGATTGCTCAGGGAATCAGGTGGAGGTGCTGTGGATTTCTGTTTTCCTTAGTAAGCTGGGCAGAGAAGGGCAGTGGCTGGGGAGTGAGCACACGGTGTGTTTGGCTTCATCTTTTGGGTGAGGGCAGGGCTGCCCTCTGAAGACCACAGAATCATGCAGTAGTTTGGGTTGGAAAGGATCATCTTGTTCCAGCCCTGCTGCCATGGGCAGGGACACCTTCTACTAGACCAGGTTGCTCAGAGCCACATCTAGCTTGGTTTTGAACACTTCCAGGTATGGAGCATCCACAGCTTCTCTGGGCAACCTGTGCCATTGTCTCACCACCCTCACAAGAAAGAATTTTTTCTAATATCTAGTCTAAAGCCACTCTATTTCAGTTTGAAGCCATTCCCCCTTGTGCTGTCACTACAGGACCTTGTAAATAGTGTCCCTCCATCTTTCTTCTCGGTTCCCTTCAGGTACTGGAAGGCTGCAGTTGGGTTACCCTGAAGTTTTCTCCAGACTGAACAATCCCAACTCTCCCAGCCTTTCCTCCCAGCAGAGCTGCTCCATCCCTCTGATCCTCTTGGTGCCTCCTCTGGACTCGCTCCAACAGCTCCATGTCCTTCCTGTGCTATTCCCCAGAGCTGGAGGCAGCTCTGCAGGTGGGGTCTCACCAGAGTGGAGCAGAGAAGCAGAATCCCCCCCTCATCTGCTGCCCACACTGCTTGTGATGCAGCCCAGGGCACGGGGGTGTTCTGGGTTACCAGAGCCAGCTCACACACACCAGCCTCTCACACACCAACAGCCCCAAGACCTTCTCAGCAGGGCTGCTGTGGATCTTTGATCGAGATGAGGCAGGATGGGCAGCCCTGGGCCGTGGCTCCTTCAGTGGCCACCTTGTGACTCCCCAGAGCTCGCCTGAAGCTCCCCCAGCAGCACCACGGAATAAAGAAGGCTCCAGTGGTGACAACATGAAAGTGGCTCTTAATGAGATGTGAAGGCAGTAAAGGAAATGCAGACCCGAAGGGTAGCCGGGAGAGAAAGAGAACTCAGTAAGTTATACCCACCCCAAAATGAGCTGCTAATCACTGGCACTATTGTGAGGACTACAATAAATCAGTGTCTGCCCTGGCCGCCTGCATCTCATTAAGCACAAACATGCGGATAGGGAATGTCAGGCTCAATAGGGATCTGTCATGTGAGTGCTGCTGTGTCCGAGTGGGCTGGTGCTTGCCTGGTTAGCCAGCTTTGTGTTTTCCCTTTTTTTTTTTTTTTTTTTCGTGGGAGATATCTATTTTCTTTTGGAAATGTTGACTCGCCCTGTACCGTGGGTAGTAAATCTGCCCTTTTCTTCCAGTGATTTGTGAATTCTGTGGTGATAACATTGTATTTAAGGTGTGGGGGTAAAATATCTTTCATATGTGTCATATTTTGTTGGGGATTTTTTTTTTCCCAAAGTCCTCCTCCGTGTATGGTGCCATGCATATTCCTGAGGCTGGGGCAACACCTACATGTATTTCTGCAGTTGATGTATAATGCCCATTACTCAAGCATCACAGACTGCCTCAGGAAGCCTAATTAATTTAAGCCCTGCAGCACCCCTTTGAGGCAAATTTTGTCGGTCCTGATGGATGCACACATTGTAGCTGCTCTTTGTTATTTATTTTTAATATGATTTCTATCCCAGAGAAGGCGAGGGGGGGGCGAAATGAATAGTTTGTACTTTGTTAGGTAGTTTAACAAATGCTAGGCTTTTGATATCATCAAAACGAAGTACATAGCAAACTGGGGTTTTTTTGCAAGCCATGCCTCAGAGGTTCTTATTTTCTTTTAAAGCCTGAGCTTCTGGAGCCGGGTGAACTTGTTGATGTCCTTTTGTTTTGAAATGTCTCTGTCTACCTTGTGGGGTTGCAAAATAAATATTAATATATTGTCTTTGCTTAATCTAAAATCTGGGCTGCAGTGAGGCACCTGACTGAGGTTGTAGGTTGGTTTCTTTTTAGTCTTAAAATTTCTGCATGATTAGGACTGGGAATACCAATGTGTGAATGAAGTTTAGAAGGGATTCCCACAACTTACTAGTTGGTTTTGTGTTCATGTTTTAATTTCAGAGCTCCTCAGTTCCATACTATATTAAGTAGGTAAAACAAGGGGAACCATCTCCTCCCTCCCACTCCATGAATGAACCAAAGACGTTTTTGAACACTGACTCACACTTTGTTGTCTGTGTTCAGTCTTAGGCTTAATAAAGAAAGATTCAGCATATCTTCTCCAAATGCTTTATCCTCCTTTGTCTTTACTCTCATTTCTGAGCTCAGCTGTGTTTCTCCACTTCTTTTGTCAACACTAAGCTTGTTTCCCTGATGGTTCTCTCTTACCCTTCCCACATCCCCTTTCCATGCTAGATCTCAAGCTGCCTCACTTTTTGAGGAGTGCTGAGGGCTGACAAAGAGGCTGATTCGAGCTGTCTTTAAATCACGAGCAGCCAAGTCTTCACATCTCACTCCCTCCTGTAGGAAAATTCTTAATTCCTTAATATTTTTCTGGGGAGCAGGTGTTCCCTGCTGCCTAGGGTGTCATTTCACAATTGCTTTAAGCCGATCTGAGACCACACTGTCACCAAAAGGGGCAATCACCCTCTTCTAGTATCTACTCCAACCACCTCTTTTTGAGTAGTTGCCTGATATGGCAGATTGCCTTTTTTTTTTTTTTGTATCTTAGGTGAGGAATCTGCTCTGATTTGCATCACAGTCTCATGGATATGCCAAGAAGCCCTGGGGAGCACCCAGCCAAGAGCAGGGAAAAAGTGTGACTGTTGCTTTCAGTAGCAGTACAGTCTCTGACTGACTGACTTAAATTATCATCTAACGACACTACATCTAATGTAGTTTCTTGGTTTCACTGAAAGAAGTGATCCTGCATCTGGCTGCTGTTTCCTTCAGCTTTGTATTAGCACAGGCTGTGGTGAACCAGCCTGGTTACCTGAGCCAAATGGGGAAAGGAGGTACCTCGTTTTGTCTCTGTGGTTTTGTGAGGCAATTTTAGCCCTAAATCACCCTCCTGATTAACCAACAAGTGGCCCACTCTTAGGCCACCTTTCAATCAGTGTTTTTCACGGTGTTTATAAATCCACCATCCTTCTGTGTAAAGGTGGTGAAGGCTGTGGGAGGTTGTTGCTGCTGAGGACAAACTGGGCATCGTTCCCATGTTTTCCAAGCCACGAGGCACCTTGGTGCTTCTCCTTATTTCTATCCTAGACCTGCACTCAGTCCCTACTTAGACATCTCATAAGCTCTAAGGCAAACAGTGCTTTGAGCAGTACATAATTCAGCTTGTGTCCCGGATGAGCCAAGTTTTTGAGACGCATGGGTTGGGCCAAAAAAGAAATCTGAGATGATCAGGAATTCATCTGCTGTGCGAATATGGGCTTGGCAAGTTTCCCCCCTTCCAGGAACATGACTATTTTAAAGCACTTCAGCATGATCAGCTGTTTTGAAGGGCCTGCAGCAACATTATCTTTCCCCACAAAAGTGACTCTAAATCTATTTCTCAGGGCAATGTTCATCATGATCTTTTAAACTGAAGGTAGTTTAGACAGAAACAGTAATGGGATTTTTTGTTTGTTTGTTTAATTGGATATGCAAATCACCTCTCCTTTTTTTTATTTCTTTTTTTTTTGTTGTTTTGGCAGTTAAATATTCTGGTTGACACTGGGAGCAGTAATTTTGCAGTGGCAGGTGTGCCTGATCCTGATGTCACCTCCTACTTCAATGCTGAGCTGTAAGTACCTGTTCTGTGCTGGGTTGAGGTGTCTTTTAGATTCTGGTTCCTCCACGCAAGAGAGGATGAAAAGGCAGTTTATGGGGCTCCTGTGGCATCCTGTGAGTGTGGGATGTTAGTTGCCTGAATGGGAATTTTGGCCTCGCGTGGTGCAAAGTCCTGCCTGACATCATGAGCAGTCCCAGAGATTTCAGCAGAGCTGAGCTCTGAGCACAGCACTGCTTAGAGCTGGAGAAAAAGGAAGAAGACTACAGGGTAAAAACTATCTGCAGAGAATCACACCAATTCCAGCCAATTTCTTCTTTGAATAGTCTTGGAAGGAATTAAAAGTTTAAATATACTTTGCCTTTGTTCGAAAACAAAAATTAATTAATTTAAATTAATTAAACTAATTGTATCTGTTTACTTGACATCACTTCCAAAAGCAAAATTAGTTAGTCAAAACCTAATTTGTTGTTTATTTTGGCTCAAGGGCCTTGATCAGTTAATAATCTAGACAGACCCTGATGAATCTTGTTATTTGTAAAATACAATTTTGTTGGGTTTGGTGCTTGTTATGCACTAAATTTACTGTGTTTAGCATAAGCTGACATTAATCACAGCCAAGCACAGCTTTGTCTGTCTGAATCACTCTCCCTCTTTTCTTCCTTCCTTTCGGCCCTTCTCTAGGTTCAATTATTTCAGGTAAACTTCTCCAAAACACAGTGTCTATCTTTAGCTGAAGCATATGGATGAAAATACTTGGAAGGCTGGGAGGCTGGAGAGTATCACCATTCCCATTACCTCATTATGTACTTTAACATGAGGTTTTGCACTTTTTTTCCAATAAGATGAGCTGGAGGGAAATCCATTATTTCCATGCTCCTTACTAGAATAGCCTTACCTCCTGTCATATATCCTGTTAATGAAGATACTTCACATCTCGTTCTGATATGCTACAGGTCTGGAAAGTCAAGAATTTGCACTTAAAAGCTATTTCTGCACTGCTGCAGAGTTTTCTATGCCAGATATCCTCTTCCATATGTAGTCCTAGAGGAAACCTAATTGCAAAGAATTTAAAGCACAAACATTCCTTCTCCCTTTTCTCTTAATTGATGTTATTGAGACTGGAAGGACAAGGCCTCTCTCATAAGAACCATAAACCATTAGAAACAGCTACAGTAAAGGTTGTGTGCTGAGAAAGGCTGTGAAATCACTTGAAGGTTACAGTCTCTGATCAGTGTTCTCAGTGTACACTGTGTTTTGAGAACTCTGATATAAAGTTAATAACGAAACCTTGACATTTAGGCCCTGAAGAGTTAGTTAAGGATGTTTTGCAAAATTATTCAAACTCAAGACATTACAGTCCGGAGCAATTGCAATAAGAGTTTGTGGTTTGTGTTGGATTGATGGAGTACTACAGTGTGCTCAGAATAAAGTGCAACTGTTAGCATGATTGAACCTCACTACACCATGCTTCTTGCATTTTAAGTATTTTAAATACATTTAAATAAATGTCATCCTGGAGGGATCCTTGCCCCAATGAAATCAGATGTTTCAAAAATGCTGGTTGCAGGACATCTCTGTGGGTCACCTCGCACATATCCCAAATGAGGTAGGGCTGTCACTAGATCAGGTTAGCCATGGCTGAGTCCAGCCAGGCCTTGTAAACCTCTGAGGATGAAGAATCCGTGCTCTCCCTGGGCACTGTGCTCCAGTGCTGGGCCACACTCTCCCATGGAGGAAATATTTCCTATTGTCCAGCCTCAACCTCACAGAATGTAACTTGTGGGTGTTGCCCTTGTGCAGAGAAAGGTCTGGCTGTGTCATCTTTCTGTGTTTCAAGTTGTGACAAGCTGCTGTGGGATCTGCCCTCAGCTTCTTGTCTGCAAAACCAAAGCCCAGCTCCTCTCAGCTCCTCATCACGGGTCCTGTGTTTGTGGACCCTGACCTGCCTGGTAACCCTCTGCCAGTCCCTCTTGTGCCAGATCCCTGTTGAAGTGGGTTCCCACAGGTGTCCACAGCCTGTTCCAGGTGTGGTCTCACCTGTGCTGACCACACTGGGAGAGCATTTTCCTTGGATGTGTTGTCCTGGCCTTCCAGGTGTGACCTGGAGTTCGCTGCATGCACGGAGCGACTTACGGTGTTGGCTCTTATCCAGCCCAGTGTACACCATCACCCCAAATCCTTTGGAGCCCTTTTCAGTTGCTTCCCAATCTGTCCTGATTCCCTTCTTGTCCTTCAGGTGCTTGGGAACTGATTCCAGGAGGTTGTTCTCTGAGATGTTTTGTGACTTGGGGTGAAGCCCAGTGACCTCTAGTTCCTTGGTCTTTGCTGCTCCTCTCTTTTTGAGATTGACATTAATAACCTTTCCCAGTAGTTGGGTTACCTTCCCTGGTGTTGTGGTTTAACCCCAGATGGCAACTAAGCCCCACACAGCCCCTCTGCCATTCCCACACCACTGGGACTGGGGAGGGAATCAGAAGTGTAAAAGTGAGAAAACTCATGGGTTGAGAAAGAGGCAGTTTAACAGGTAAAGCAAAAGCCACATGGACAAGCAAAGCAGAACATGGAATCCATTCACCACTTCCCGTGGGCAGGCAGGTGTTCAGCCATCCCCAGAAAAGCAGGGCACCCACACACATGACAGTGACTTGGCAAGGCAAACACCATAACCCTGAATGTCTAGCTCCTTCTTCCCCCCTCTTTTTATACTGACCATAACACCATATGGTGTGGAATATCCCTTCGGTTAATTGGGGTCAACTGTCCTGGCTGCGTCCCCTCCCAAATTCTCATGCACACCCAACCTGCTCAATGGTGGGATGGGGTAAGGGGCAGAAAAGGCCTCAGTTCTGTGCAAGAGCTGCCCAGCAATAACAAAAACATCTCTATATTCAACACTGTTTTCAGCACAAACCCAAACCACAGCCCTGTACTAGCTGCTGTGAAGAATGTAGCCCAGCCCAAACCTGCATACTTGGTTGTCATGATTTTGCACAGAGGGTGCACACCCAAGAGTGACCTTTACCCATGTGTAAATGAGTAAAGTGACCTATGGGCACTTTCCTTCCACGCTAGGTGCAACACTTCAAAATTAGATAAAGAGGTTTCTTCTTGTCTGGTAATCGATCCTGCAGTTTTTCCCTATATTGTCATGGAGTGGCTTCCAAAGTCATAAGCTGCAAGTTGAAGAAGATTAATAATTTGTTAGGTTAATGGGACTGATTTATAGATGTGTGCTTATTAGAATATTAATGTCGTGTTGGAGAAAGAGAGTGATGGGTCTGGATTTCCTGATGCCACGCTCTTAGTTTAATTTTATTCTGATGATCATAATCTGAAATGGAATGCATGAGTGTTTTTTGACTGAAATTGAGGAGGGTGCATAGGAAAGGCATTATCTTTGTTTCAAAGGACCCAGAGGGTGTGTTTTTCAGAAAGAGCCCTCCTGGAGCAATTTTAGAACTAGCTCGTTAAATGATGTCATGTATCATATAATCTGTGTCGTATAACTCTGCAGTTTAATTATCTACCTCTTTCTGTACAAATTGAGTAAAGCTGTTATCATGAACTCTTTTACAACTTGGGCTTTTGAGTGGCTCTGACAAAACTTTGCTGTGAAAAGTTCTGAGTTTGCTCTGATAATCATGCTCTATAAGTCACCACAATGTATAAGGTTTTGCGAAACAGCCCAATTTGTCCTGAACTGAAAAGAAATCATGGTGCTTGTTTCTCATGCTGCTCAAAATAACAAGTAGTTTTGTTGAATACACTACTTATGATAAAAGAGATACTTAAACAGACATATAAAGGGGTTTTTACGGTTGAACCCAACTTATCTGTGATGGCTCTGCAGCAATATGTCAACATGACATACCCAGGGCTTTCAGTATTCAGCAACAGCATCCAGTTTTATTTCAGTGTGAGAACTACTGCCTCACCATGTGAAGGTTCAGGAGCAAGCTGCTCAAGAGTTGATCTTTTCAAGAGATAGGGAGGTAAGAAAAATAAAGGCAATAAATTGAGGTAATACAATCAGTTATATACCAGCAAGCAAAATAAACTGCCTTGCAGTGTGGTGCTCTGAGTTTGGTTGTGTACACTGTACAGCTTGTGGTTCGGGGTGAATTATAAGCTTCTTCCAGAAACCCTGCAAATTAGATGGGACTTCTTGGTTAAAAAATCAATAATTTATGTTATGTTTTCACATTTGCTTTGTCCTAAAGTTGTTTGGCAAGGTGGGTGTTAAGCAGGGCTTCCTGCACGTAGTGGATTTGCTGTTGCAACGTTGAGCTTCCTTCAGAGGAATCATGACATGAGAAATAACATTTTGGTCATTTCATTTATTTCCTTATTTGTTTTGTTCAATGCTATATGCTAGTAATGAGGAGTAACTCTGCAAGAGAAAATTAACCACTGCTGAGGCTTGAGATCCATTTGAGGTTTGAGGGCCATGTTTCTGTTGGCTGCTCTCGAGAGAAGATAAAAAATGGGAAAGGGAGAGAGAAGGGAGTAGGGTCACTACAGCACCATGGTCTAGGAGACCTTTTCCCTTACTTCTGGCTAAGTTGCACTCTGTTCTGCTGGAAGAGTTGAATTTCTTCTTTCTTATCACAGCCAAAACAGCTTGTTTGTAATTTTTCTCCTTTTTTGTGCTGTCTGTTTGTTTTGAAACACTCAGGCCATGAATTACAACAAATCTCTAGTTTTGACCTCTAAAGAAGATTTCTTCCTTTAGATCAGTGAGGTGGAAAGGTGAAAAAATCAGAGTGGCTGATTACAGGCAAGAAGATGGAGCAGGAAGTGGTTTTGCAGAACAGAATATAATTTAGTGCCACAAGAATTATGTGAGATCCCTTCCCATGCTAGGTATTTTGCTCCTTGAGGGAAATAATAGGGTCTTGTCTTTAATGTGATATTTGTGAGGTTTACAAATGAGATGAGCATCTTCATATCCATTTCTTCAGGTGGGAAAGCCGAGGCACAAAGGATGAGGAGGTGACTTGTCCTGCCTTTCCACAGGAAAGTTCATGAGCCCATTTTTTCTGTGTCCTGACCCACAGCTCATCCATCAGGCTGTCACTGCTTATAGAACAAGAGCTGTGTGCTGCTGCTGTTGCCAGTCACACACATTCTGTATTTGCAGATTTGCTTCACTTTATTCTCCCAGCACTCAGTTTTCTCTCTGATTTCAGATGTTTCCTCTTCTCTTGCCCGGCCAGACACTTTTCTACATGAAGAACCCTGTGTTTTCCCTTTCATTTCCTGCTCCCCCCACCTTCTCTTATGTCACTAATTATTCAGACTCTATTTTGATTTATAAAATGTACTGCCAGTATCACAGAGGTGTTCTGAAGGCCCTGCCTGAGCAGAGATGTTCCTTTGTGTATCATACAATTGCAGAATTACACAGCAAGTAAAACAGCAGTAGGAATAACCAGACACAGCTAGTAACTACCTCTGGAATTCATGCCTTTTGAAATATTATCTCATGTATTTCTGTTGTCTGGGATGTTAACCCTTGAAAGGTTAAGTCTTGGGAGTATCAAAACGCACTTTGGGTTAGAGCCTGGCTTCTCTTCCTCCCTTTTCCAGGAGAAGAGTCAGTTGTGTGGTCCATGTGGCCAAATTGTCCCTCAGGATAAGGTATTTGAATGGATGGAACTTGTCTGTGTTGCCATCTAAAGGTTATTCCCCATAATAGGCAAAATCACACTGATTTTGTGCTGGTGAGCTCAGGTGCAGGGGAGTGTGAAGCCCCACTTCATGTGGATGTTTCTGTCAGAGCAGATGTTAGATTAAAGCTGGGTTGATAAAAATATCCACACCTGATAAATCACCTACCCTTGCTCTTGTTCTACACACTTGTAGAAGTGGTGTTATAAAATTATTTTACATCCCCCCCAATTTATTTTTTAAAAAGATGTCAAGAGAAAAGTCTGTTCAGACGAACTGGGTGTGGTCACCTGTGTCTTCAAAAGGGGAAGCTGTATGCCAAGGAAGGAGTCCAAGATAAATTGTGAGGGATCTAAAAGTTTTGTAGCTCTTTGGTACGACGTGGGTGGAATATGATTGCCGTATTTAGGGATTACAGGATTTTAAATGGAAAAATCTATTGAGATTTCTTCTAACGTTTGTGTTAAGTCTTCTGAACAGGATTCTGTTCCTTCCTTTGCTTGTCATACTTAACTACTCCTTTGCATTTGCTACCCTTGTCTGGAAAGAATTCCTTCCTTTCCTCCTCCAAGTCAGTGAATCATTTGTTAATAATATCCAAGTCTGCTTGCTTCCTGATAGATAGACCAAACTGCAGATTTAGAAAGCCTCTGTCTTACTGCTGATACTCACAATAACATTCCAATTTACCCAAAATGGATCTTTTAAGGATATTAATGAGGTGTTAGTCTACAGCTATTCAGTTAGCTTGGCATTTCAGTTTTTTTATTTGAATTCAGCAGCTTTTCATTTCCTAACACCACTTAAGATGTTCCTTCTCCAGTTAGAGTGTTGCTCCTATTGTGATGGACCAGTCTGAGTCAGGGACACGCTGCACCAGGTGACATAATACCTTAGATTTAAAAAAAAAAAAAAAAAAAAAAAAAGGAGAGGGGTTTTGAGTTGAGTTATTGATGGCTCCTGGATAAAAACAGGGCCTTGAGATTTTATTATTTCTGCATTTTACAGCTTTTACAGACAGTATGCATATACATTTTGCAGGCTTAATTTTTTTTCTCTGTCTCTGGGCAAAATTGAGGTGGAATATATTCTGTCTTGCATCGAGGATGAACAGCTTGTGTATAAGTGTATCTTTTCCTTTTAAAGGTCAAGCACGTACAGATCTGAAGGGATTGAAGTCACAGTTAAGTACAGTCAAGGAAGCTGGACTGGAGTGCTGGGTACAGATGTCATTACTATGCCCAAAGGAATCTATGGCAGCTACACCATCAACATTGCCACCATCCTGGAGTCAGAGAACTTCTTCTTACCTGGGGTTAAATGGCACGGGATTCTTGGCCTTGCCTACGACGCCTTAGCCAAGGTAAACCATCCTTTCCCCAGAGACTGTCTTTCACAGTGACAATAAACAGAAATGTGACAATTAAAATAAAGTGTGCAGATGATCTGTCAGCATTAGGCTCCCTCCCTTCCAGCCACTCTTTCCTGGATCTTTTATGGTTGTTCCTGAAAGAATTCATTGGTTTGTGATGGTGCCGCATTCCCGTGTGAGGATTTCGGCTTTTTTTTTGGTGATGAAAACTCCAATTTTAGCTCCTCTGGAATGAATGAGCTTTTACAGAGCTTGTAGTACCAGAGTAGGGGTCTAAAGTCTTCTGATATGTGTGAAGGGTGTTGTTAGGGCACTGATGACAATCCTCAAGACTTGTCCATGGACTGATGAACTTACTTGGCAAAGCCCTTGGCAGTTCATTGTAAGACATTCTCTGTTCATCAAGTAGAAGTTGGGATGGAGGGGATAGATGGATAATTTCATAACAAATATTAACCACAATGTTTCCCTGAACATAGAGCTAAGCACATCACGGTCTTCTGGGGGCAGGAAATTGAGGTAGAAGTTTAAATTAAACCCCAAAATTTATAGACTAAAGCTTATAGCCTTATAATCTAAAACTGAAAATGTGATTGGAATGCCTCATAGACATAGTTTTCAATTTACACATCACAAAGTGAGATCTCTCCAGTTAGAACAAATGATTCAATACTGCCTGACAACTCTGCTTTATTCGAGGGTTGTGTGAGCCTTGTATTGATTTCTGCTGTTGACTTGACATGTACTGTCAACAGGAAGGGAAGAGCTGCTCTTCAAACTCTGGTTCGGGCAAATAGTGTACTCAAGGCGTTGATTTTTCCCTTCTTCCAAAGACTTAAGAGTTGTTGACTTCTGGGGCTGCTCTGTCTTTGTGTAGTAAGAGCCCTTGGCCCCTCACACTTGCCAGGGTCTCTGCCCATCATGAGACCTACGTGCTCAGAAATCTGAATTACAGTGAGGTTGCAATACTCTGAATAACTGCAAAGCAAAGCATGACATGCAGTGTAGGGAGGAACCTGTTGGCCACAGTCAGTTGAAGTGAACGTGCTTGGACATGAAGTCCTTCAAAAGAAATAAGAGGAATTAACGGGCCATTGAATAAGAAGTTTATTAGAATTAAATTATTTTGAAAAACTGAAAATCTTGACCCCAAAGTTTTGCCTTTTTAACCATGGAAAAGCGTGAAGGGCAAGTTACATTTGTCTGTTCTAATAACCCAAAGCCTTTTCCTACCAGAAAGCATCGGTGAGAGTTTGTGCCTGAACCCACTGTTTGAGTTTGAAAACGGCAATTGAAAATTACTCTTGTGCTTTAGGGATTTGGTGGCAACCACAGTGACAGTGGTCAAGAGTAAAAATGTTTTTGAAAACAACAGAAACAGAAAAATGACAGATGCTGGGTTTTTAATGACTTATTATATCTAGAACTTTCATCACCTTGTTGTCAGAAATTCAGTTTACTCGTGAAAAAGTGGTCTTGTTTGAATGATTTGCTGATTTCTGCAAAGCAGCTTTTTAATGAATCCTGCAATTCTTTTGGTCTTTTTGTTTTGTTTTTCAACACCTTCAAGCCTTCAAGCTCTGTGGAGACCTTCTTTGATTCTCTTGTGAGGCAGGCAAAGATCCCCAACATCTTCTCCTTGCAGATGTGTGGTGCTGGACTCCCTGTTTCTGGAAGTGGTACCAACGGAGGTAGTCTTGTGGGTATCTGTCAATCGGAGAGGGAAGATGTATCTTTGTTAATCTCTCCCCCTCTTTTCTGTGACTATTTTACTTCTGCCAAATTTAATGTTTAAATATATTAGGTTTTCTGTTTTTTCAAGGAAAAGTTAAGCCCTTAGGCAAAACTGAAGCGTCTTATTTATTTTAATTCTCTATTCTTTTTTTTCTCTCTCAAATCTGAGCAAACCTTTCTTCTTTCAACAAAGGAAAACATAAATGTTGTGGTGTTTCCTCAGGGCAGATTCTGCTACCTTTCTCAAACTGAGTAGTCCCTTACTCAGCTGATAAACTTGTTTAATCTCATCAAAATGTTACAGTAATTTTTTTTTTTACATGATGTGAAAAGGGGGAGAGGAATCAAGGGTCTTTTTTTTTTTCAGTTGTTGTTGTTGACAACATGCTAAAGGAAAAAATCTGAAGATGAGATCTTCTGCTTGTTGTTACTCTGGAAAGTCTTTCCATCAGTTTTAGTGGGACCAAGAATTGGCCATTATGTATCTAGAATTGGGAGCTGGAATGACCGTTCCCAAATTATGCTGAAATAAGTATATCAGCACAGGCGTTGATCACAAATAGTTATTTTGCAGTGAATTCACATACTGTAAATGTTATTCATGTAGGTGAAGCCCAAGAGAGAATTCACTTAAGTTAGTTCAGTACAAAGTCTGAGAGTCCACGATGCTCCCAGTCATCCTGAACCTCAGTTTTGATGGAAGCCAATAGTGATATCAGTGACAAGATGGTCAAATTCCATTTTGGATGTGTGTAAGAAAAATGAAATGCTCTTGAACAGTATTAAAGCTTTTCTGATCTGATAAAGCAAATTCATCATGTGTAAGTTTAATATTCTGTCCCATTTTTATACATTGCCTGTTTTATACATTGCCCTGAAGATTCTGTTTTGATTTTAAACCGTGGAGCTTTCATAATAAAGTCAGTGTGAGCTTTTAGATAAAGATGCTAGTAATTTGGCCCAATATGGGAATTCTGTTTGACTGAGGCACAATCTGTTTAATGTTTAGATGTTTCATATTGCTTTATTATTGACAATGAACTTGTGACTAAAATCCTTACAAATGATGCTAAATTAAAATTTCGATGCCTTGAGTATCACAATTAAATATTCCCCTTTCTGCATGTACTTGGCCCAAAGCTAAACCTCTGGGATTTTAAAGCATGCTAATTGTTTTCTCCTTTCCCTCAGGTCCTGGGTGGAATTGAACCGAGTCTGTACACGGGGGATATTTGGTACACACCCATCAAAGAGGAGTGGTATTACCAGGTGGAAATTCTCAAACTGGAGGTTGGGGGTCAGAACCTCCAACTGGACTGCAGAGAGGTATTTGCCATTCTGTGTTTCAGTCTATATAAAATGCAAGTTTGGTTGAGAAAAAACCCACCTGATTGATCAGTTTGGGTCTTTGCAAGCAGATGTGTATCACGGTCTCCTCTGATAACTGGTAACTTTGCAAAGAAATGAGTGAGCTGTGTGAAATTCAGGGTGTGCATCAAACATGCTAAAATTGCTTCACAGGGGACTTTAAAACTCATTGATAATATTCCAGTAATTTGGAAACTAAGCTATAATTTTTAAGCCAACAGTCCACTGAGAATCAGGCTGCTGTGGGTTGGGAGGACTCAGCCTCTGGGGTTGTTCCAGTCGTAACAAAGGTGTCTAAACACTGAAGATGGTACAATGATTCAAGGAGACAAGAGTCTTTAAACAACTACAGCATGTGGTTTTCCTACAGCAAAATCAATTCAAATGGGTTTAAAGCAGTTCTGGTCAAACAAAGAAAAGGGGAGATTTTGGACTGACCCTTGTAGAGCTGTCTGAGTACATAATTCATGATGGCAGTGGCAGCTGTTATCCTGGGATGCTCCTTAAAGTTCTCAACCTATGCCTCCTTTTTTATTTCATATTTTTGTAATCTACTTTTGATCTCTTATGCCTTGCCAGTTATTATTCCTGATGGATATATTTTCTGTTTTTATTAGGAATAATGTTCTGTGTTGTTGCAATTTTTATTCCAAAGCCATTTCTTTCTTTTTTTTTTTTTTTTTGTGAAGGATGTCTGTGTATGTGTGTGTTTTATCTGTTTCTCACTGTTGCTTGTTGCTGTTCATGTTTTGATTTTAGTTCTGTAATTTTCATGCCCCGATTTCGTTAGACATTCTGATTTTATCTTGTAGTTGTGCTCTTAGCTGGAAATCATTGGGATGTTGTGCTGGCTGGGGTTAAACCATGTCAGACATGATAATTCTGAAGGTTTTATAGTTCTTATAAATTAAGTGAAATTCATGATTAAAATATTACACGTGCATGAATATTATATTTTCATACAAAATATGGAAATCATATTGCCATATAAATTATTTAGAATTAGTCACAGCATCTTTCAACTTAATAAGCAAAACAAGGTCTATTTAAATGCTTTTGTCTGTTGGTACTGCTAGGAAAGCAAAACCGCTGGTCCTCTTAACAGGAATGTTTGCTTTTCTTTCTTGCCTTTGAAAACAGTCAACATGTTTTTGAAGGTGTAGCCCTTGCACTAATGGCTTAATCCGTGCTGTTTCCAGAAAACGACTCACTTAAAAATCCAGCGGTGTGTTACAAAAGTTTCCTGTTATTGTTGCTGTTTTCTGAGCCAGGGTTTGCTTTCACACTGTGTGTGTGTTAGCACAGCACGCTGGTCACCTATGCACAAGGACTGTGCCTCCCTTGAGGGCAGGCAATCATCCCACAGAAAATTTAGAGGAAAAACAGTGAAAAGGAGCCGGTGTGATTAAATTTTGGCTGGTTAGGAGCTTGCAGAGGATGCATGAATCTGCATGGGACGGTGAACTATGCGCCCTCTCTCCTCTCAGTTGTTTTCTAGGAAATGGAACATTATTTGTAACCTTCACCAGAGGCTGCTCCTTTCCTTGCCAGGGAAAAGTTGTCCCCTTGCTTCAGTGCTGGGAATCTGTCCAGTGCTGGAGCACAGCTGTGTCCCTGAGCCCAGCAGGCTGGGGCTGGGAGAAGTCCTGAGCTGCTGGGAGTGCCCTCTGCTTAGGCTGCCCTGGTAAATATTAACCAGGAAGGCCAAGAAGGCAAGTTGCTGCCAGCACTCTGTACACAGCATGAAAATCCTAGTCCCTAGCTGAGCCATCCCACTACTCCCAGCATTTTCCATGGGTTATGTCAGTGGTTGACCCTCCTAACTGCTTGTTTTCCAAGGATGGCAGTGATTGTGTATTTGTGGTACATGTCTGTTACAATGGACTCCACAAGGCCTTGATATTTCTCTCCACTATCTAGAAGTGTATAATAGAAATATAAAGAAGTTTATGAGTGTATAATAAATGGTTTTCTGTTTGCTTTTCTGTCAGCTCAGCATGGCAGCCTATAGCAGCTCTTCCAAAAAAAAAATAATAAAGAAATAGCTGTCAGACCTACTTTTTTACTTTTTGGTGGGTTTTATTTTTGTCACTTCACTAAAGGGACTCCATGTCCATGTGACTTGATAACATCTAAACCAATATATTTTAAATTTACTTGCTGTCTGACCTCTTCCTAAGTAGCTTATGCTGTATATTATCTTGTGTCCTATGATTATGCCATAAACATGTCACTGTTCAGTTATATTAATCCTGCTGCCTAAGCTGGCAACAAAAGTAATTAATACAAACATCTGTCACTGCTTCTTTTTCTTTCCCCCCCCCCCAGTTTTTAATGAGTTCGTGGAAAAAGTTCTACTTCTTAAAAAGTTTTTACCTTGTTTACTGTATCTGACACTTGCTGAAATCTCTTAGTCTGAGGGTTAGGGTTTTAATAATAAGAGAAATATTCACTTGGAGGGGGGGTTTGTGCAGATTTTGAGGCAGCAAGACTGAAACTTGAAATTTCTTTGTGCTTGCTTTTGTCTGTGTTTCAGTGGTTTTCAGCAGCCAAGGGAGAAAGGTGTGGTGTTTGTACTCTTGAGCCAGTACTGACACACACTAAGGCCTAATTTTCTCTGACTACGCTTAAATTCAATATGCCAGCCACTAAAACAGTGTCTAGACTGTAGTGAGTTGTGTTCATGGTGGCAGAGACCTTGATTGAGGGCTTAGACATGTGTGCTTAGCACCTGTCTGCACTGAACATGGAAGTGCCTTTGCCCCCTCTGAGAGGGGCTCGGCTTTTCTTCTTTTTCCAGCGTGTGTTGGCCACTTGCACCAGCTGTGGTGGCACACAGCAATTTCCTGAGTGCTGCAGATAAACTCACTCTTGTGTCTAAGCTGATGGTATCTTGCTTTTGCTCTCAGACTTCATTTGAATTCAAGCTATCAGCTGGAGAGGGCTGCTGACAGGAATGACATGCAGGTCTGGGAAGCCAGCTGCCAAAAAAAAAAAAAAAAGGAAAGGAACAGCTTTGTTATGGTTATGAAACAGTGGAATCTGCATTACAGTAACTACAGTCTCCTTTTTTTTTTTTTTTCTCCACTCCCCAGTACAATGCTGATAAAGCAATAGTGGACAGTGGAACCACACTCCTTCGTCTGCCAGAGAAAGTCTTCAGTGCTGTGGTGCAGGCAATAGCTCGAACGTCCCTGGTAAGCTGATGGCATTAAATCTGCCCAAAATGTGAGATTCCCATTGAATGATCCCGTGATCTTTGAAAGGAGTGTCATCTTCGCTGTCTGCCTTGCAAGTCATAGGTTTTAAACCTGAGGGGAGCAGAATCTTACCTGGTCCAGTCCTGTTAATAAGTGAGAAATGACTGATGGGAAAGGGGAGAGGGAAAGGAAGAGGTGAAAAGGGAAAGGGAGGAGGGAAAAGGGGGGTTCAAGTACAGGCAAAAGTATTTGTATTGAAACGCATCAGAAATAGGGCAGAGACAGCATATTTTGTTCTGAGCATTTCAGAAACACAGACATAATCCCTGTTGCTCTGATTCAAAGTATTAAGAGTGCAAAAATCAGTCCTTTCATTCAAAACAGAGTGTTTCTAAAGTAGAAGAACCTGCTGCTGCAAGCAATTCCTTTCCAAGTATAATGCTTATTGCTGTCTAGAATAAATGCCATTCATTAGGATTATTCCTATCAATAAAGCTGCTTTTGACCTTCATTATTGAATTATTTATGTTCAAAAGCATCTTTCTTTGGAAATAGAGTGGGCTTTAGAAGTAGGGCATGGGGATGGTTCTCTGCATGTAGAGTAGCTGAAGCAGCATTTTCTGGTTAATAAAAACTATTCATAAATTTTTGTTCAATACAAGGAAGAGAACAACAAGGTTAAAGATGAAGAACAAATCCCAAGTATTTCAGTGTGAACAGTTTTGTCATTTTTGTCGTGGATTCACAATCAGACAGTAGCAAATCACAGGAAATAACAGTAAACAGCTTCCCAAAAGACAGAGTATTGTCTTGTGTGCTGATAATTCAAGACTGAGGTCCTTTTCCTACCTGATGGAGAGCAGAGATTTGGCATGCAGTGTTCTTCACTGCCTGCAGGTGTCCAATATCTGAAATAAATGTGCCAGTTACAAGTTCTTCTCTTTGCAAAACACTTCAGTATTGACATGTCCAATTTCAGTCGATGGGGGGGAATTGACAGAAGCCACCCCAGAGCCCCTGTGATGGTACCTTGTGGATGGGGCATCCCATGAAGTGGGTCCCAGTGGTTCACAGTCTGCTGCTGGTCAGGACATGGCATGTGAATAGTGGACTGATCAATAAGGTGTTAGAGGGGAACAACTCACTCACTCTGCTCAATGGTTTTTGCTCTTCCTATTAAAAATGCATAAACTAACTCTTCTTTTTCAGGGTTTCTTTTTAATCCCAGGGATCTCCCTGCTGTACCCCTCTTCCTCCACACACCCCAAAATTTACTTTCACAGCTCTAAAAAAAAAAAAAAAGGAAGCAGTCTACTAAATAAGAAGGTAGTCATAGGGATGTAAGGATTGGATTCCGGCTGTGTGGGAACAGTGTCAGAAAAATGGGTATTTTCAGCAACTGTACTGCAGCATCACAACTGTACTCTTAGTCCTCTGTGCTTCTGGCAGGATATGTACCACTGAAACATAAAATCATCTGCTTTAGGCAGACAGCCCTCCCTGACCACAGGTGGACCAGGTTAAGTAAGGAGTCCCTGCTCCTATTTGGTTGTTACAATCTTCCCAGCCAGATGTCATTTCCCCCCTCAGATATTCTGGGATAACTGTGTGTGGCACATTCCTTTATTCAGCTCCACTAAAAAACAGGGCAGTGAGCTTTGTGCTCTTCAGTGGTACAGGTGGTTTTTTTTAAACCAGACTTATTTGGGCTGAAGTCTTTGAGGGAGCAGCTATAGCTGCAGTTTGCTCTTGCTAGGTTTGAAGGGTGGTGGTTTTCATAGATGGGCAGAGATGAGCCACAAAAGGGTGGCACCTTCTACACCTGACTGAGCTGAAGTCAGAGCAGTGCCTGCTCACAGTGTTAATACAATGCTGAGTTAATAAGCTGAAGAAAAGAAGGTTCAAGTAAACCTAAAATCTTTATTTTAATAGCCCTTTAGGTATCATACACTCAGATCTCCCCAATGCATTGCTTCAGCATACAGAAGTAAGGCAAAGAAATGCAATGTATTAAGCAGTCTTTATGGGAAATTAAAGCAGGGACTTAAAGCAGAGCACTTTATACACTTGGTCTGCCCAGTCTAGGTGCTGTCTGGCAGTTTTTCTCAGATCACAAGCTCTGCTTTTCATGACAAAATGGAAAGAGAGGAGAACTGTATTTCTCAGCAGGTCTGGCCTGGGACTAAGCTGTGAGAGGCCCTGTGCTGAGGGATGTACTTAAGCTTGCATTGAGATTTAAGGGTAAAAGCAGCCTGTTTGTGATGGTTAAGTCTCCTTGTTTACATGAGCCCGTGCTTGTTGACCCAAGAAAAAAGATGAGCACTTGAAAGTATGAAGTCTCTGTGCAGCCCTAACCAATATTTCACTGGCAGGTGTGTGGAGAGGGCTGAATACCTGTCACCTGTACAATGCCATATAACTAATGTGCGAGCTGATGTTTACAAAATAATCAATATCACAGATAAATACAAGTGAGGAGAGCAAAGAGGCTGGATTCCATTCTTTTTTTTTTTCTCTCACCCAAATGGAAGGCTTTGGCTTCAGGCAGGCTCAGAACAAGACACTGCCTTGAATGCTGCTTCATGGGGGAATGAAAACCAGCACAAAGCAATGCAGTAAAACAAGGAAGGTCTTTGCTCTGATCTGGCAGCAGGTCAGCTTCAGGGTGCAACAGCATTAGGCAAGATGTTTGTCTTGGCCAAACAAGCTCTGTAGGGGTTTGCTTTTTGCTTTGTTAGTTCCATGGATATATTACAAAGTACTGTTAATCAGCCTTATTTCAAAGGCATGTCAGATTTTACTGGGACTGAGTGATGGGGCAGCAAAAGAGGCAGAGGGTCACCTTTCTTCCCATTGACTTGATTCCCTTAGATGCCAGGAGATTTTTGGCTTAGCCCTTGGGTTCAAAACCCTGAAAGCTGAGTAAGAAGCTGAGGTATGTGAGGAAGGGTCGTCGCTTCGTTACATATTCATGTGGTTTGTGTTTTGGATTGTGTTTTTTACGAAGTGTCTGCTGCTTCAAAACCTTGGTGTTTGGTCAGAGAGGAGGTGGGGAGACACTGAAAGCCCATTGATGCCTCACACATGTTCATTGGAGCAGTGAAAGTAATGAGACACAAACGGGGAGGAGAGGGGGGGCTGACCTTGATTTTGCCTCTTCCCCCTTCTTCCAAGTCGTGCTGGGCTATGGCACACCTCAGTTTGGGTGTTGGGGATTGGGTTTTTGCTTTGACCCTTAAAGAAGCAGCTCAGATTTGCATTCATGCTTGAATTTCTCCACGGGAATGGAAGAAGTATCAAATAGTGGTAGTGTTCACTTAAAAAAAAAAATCTATCAAAATGTATGTAATATGTAAGTATCACCTTTTTTTTCTTTTTTTCCCCCCTTTTTTTTTTTTAATAGATACAGGAATTCTCTTCTGGTTTCTGGACTGGTTCCCAGCTTGCATGCTGGGATAAAACTGAAAGACCCTGGTCCTTATTTCCCAAACTCTCCATTTACCTGAGGGATGAAAACTCCAGTAGGTCGTTTCGGATCTCTATCCTACCACAGGTCTCAACCTTCTTTGTTTATTCACAATGCATTTATTTTTACTATCATAAAGCACATGCTCTTAAAAAGTAGGAGCTGTTTTCAGCAGTAATGGAGAACTGGTTTATTGCATACAAGGGAAATCTTTTTTTTAATCAGGTTTTAAATAGGGAAAATAACAAACTTTTCAAACCTAAAATTGAGAAAGAAAAGCAGTTTCCCTCTCAGTGCAGTCCATGTAATTGAGAATGATTTTTTCAATTTGTCAGGAAAAACAGGCAAGTTTTTGCTTTGTTTTCATGAGCCACATCAGATGTCAATACAGAATGTCTCTGCTCATTTTGATCTTCTCCGTTTGGGAAGCAAATTGATTTGTTTTTTGTGGCATTTTGAGTTGGAGCACTTCTTCTGAATATGAAAATCTTGGCAGTGACCCTTTGTGAGCTCTTCACCAGTTTCTGTAACTTTGTTGGTTTATCTTTTATTAATATTCCATGCCAGCTTTTAGAATATAATGTGCTACTTTTATTTTTCCTCTCTGGCTTCCCCTCCCAGTATGGTTTGCAGTGCAGGCTGGTATCCTCTAACATTACTAATAGTCTTTTACCTCAGGGGACAGCAGGAGCAAAGGAGAGAATGAACCTATTAAGTACATTTTAACTTGAAATATAGTAAAGCCTTATGATAAACTTTTTCTGTATTGATCATGTAGCTTGGCAGTCATTCATCTTCCCAGAGGAGACAGGGGGCAAAATGTGACTTGAATTTATAAATCTAGAGCCTTGAAGCTGATACTGAATCCTCTCTGAAACAATTCCATCCCGATAATTTTTTAAATAATAAAATGATTCTCTCATTTGAGTTCATATCCCAAGTTCTTTCTCAGCTATCATTCCCTTATGGAAAATACAGGAAAAAGGGGCTCTTGTGAATTTGCTGTGGACCTTCACATGGTGACTGACTGTGTTCAAATTTAAGCTTATAATCCAAGAGCTTTACCTCTCACCTGCATGTGAGCTTCGACCAGTTTTAAATCCTGCACAGAAAACTTTGCCCCTGTTAATTCTCTAATTCCAGCGGGGTTTGAGTGCTTGACTATAAAAACCAAGAGGACTGAACTTCTGACTACTGTGTGGTGTGACTTCTTACACTCTGGATCTTTTGTTTGTTTGTTCTAATAGCTCTATATCCAACCCATCCTCGGAATAGGGGAGAATTTGCAGTGCTACCGGTTTGGCATCTCTTCCTCCACAAACGCTCTGGTTATTGGTGCTACAGTCATGGAAGGCTTCTATGTAATATTTGACAGAGCCCAGAGGAGAGTGGGCTTTGCAGTGAGTCCCTGTGCAGGTAAGAGAAATATTGCTGAGGACCTGGTGAGTGAGGAAACCCCTGCTGTCTCAGAGGAACACCTTTGCCACTTACCTGATGGGGAAAAGTGTGGTTACTCATAGAGTGTGAAGAGAATATTTTTGAGCAATTCCAAGCTATTCACACTTCAAAGAAAGGGGGAAAAAAAAGCAAAAAAAAAAAAAAAAAGCTGTTTTGCAACAGTCTTCTGGCATGAAGTGAATCAGCCCTCAGCTCTGGGTACCTTCACTGTGTTCTTCCCTCTCACAGAGATGATCTTCCCAAGACATCTGTCTGTGTGTGCAGTTTCCCCAACAGTTATATCAGATGAGTCCCTGTTTTTAAGGCAGCTTCATTTTTGTGTAGCTCCTGCTCTAAATTGTGGATAAATGGATTCTTCAACTGACTTTTGCAGTGTGCAGTGAAGTACCTTACTCACTCTTTACTCTTAATGTAAATTGAGCCTCTTCAGCCTCTTGGAAATTCACAAGGAAAGAGCTGAGGTGAAAATGGGACATATTCACATTTCACATTAAGACTTGTGGTGTTTATGTGGTTCTAAACAAATGGTTTTGTCAGTGGAAGTAGAAAGGCATAAGTTTTTTAATTAGTTGCTAAGGAGATGTGAAAGAGCTCATGACTCTTGGAGATGGTCCCATGCAGGGCTAAGAGTTGGACTCTGATCCTTGTGGATCCCTTCCAAGTCAGCATATTCTGTGATTCCGTGATAACTTTTGGCTGATTTTACTGTGCTGGTTAACTTTCTCTCTCTTTCATCATTTCTCTTACCTCACCAAGAGTAGCTAAAACCAAAGGGTTTGGGGTTTCCTTGCCTTGTTGTTCAGGCATTGCTTTGGCATCACAAGAACATACAAGTGGGAGAGGAGGGAAAGGACGTGCACCCATATGCAAGTCTCTGTCCCAAACAGGAGTGGCTTATGCCCTGAAAAACCTTGTGTCACCTGAGATTTGCATGAGAAAAGGACTAGGCCTGACAGTGCTTCTTTAATCTCCAGTGTTTGTGTTAGAGAGGGTAGGGATAGTAAGGATTTGAGTGCTTAATGCAGCCAGGGAATAGAGGCGAGGAAGAGAAATGCTAGCTGGCCAAGTTGTAGCTGTAGGGCATTTTTAAAACTACCTTTTTTTGTTTTGTTTTATTTTATTTTTTTGCAATGTCTCCATTGTGAATGGGTTCAGAATTGTCAGTTTTGAGCTTGCTGTGGAAGAAAATCCAGATATTGATATGGGTTGCTCAATGGAGGTACTGTGCAGGGATGAAAGACACATTTTGAATGCACCTGGCAGGAGAGTGTGACTAGACAAATACTGCAGGCCAGGCTTTCCTGCCTTTCACTCTTCCTTGTGCTTCCTTGTTGCAGTTTTAGCAAGTGCAGAGCTGCCTCCTGTCCCTGTCACACTGCAGCCATTAGTGGAGCATTTTGACAGGACATATTGACTGAGGTGTGACGGTCAGCAGGGGATAGGAGCCAGCTGGTGGGCACGAGGACTGCTGTGACAGCACTCCTCTGTAGGGAAAAATAATTGGGGAACCACAACAATAAAAACACCTTAGTGTTAACATTGCTACCTGGAAGATAGTTTGGCCGCTTCATGTGGTTCTGCCAGGCTTGTCTGGAGAGGAAGAACTGCTGGAGAGAAATGCAGTTGGAACTTACGTGAGCTTGGGCACATGACTGGACCCAGCTGGTGCTGGAAGACGTTTCCTCCTCGTCTCTCTGTCCACGTTCCGTGCATATGTCTAACCAAGCATCACGGGAACTGAGCTTCCTGAGGAGTCAGATGACTGTCTGAGGCAAGATACACTGATTTGTCACATTCCACTGACATTTTGCTGGATGTGCCAGTTATTCTGAGTTCGCTCCTTCGCAGCTTGTGGTTTCCATATTTAACTCTACTTCCATCAGAGACCCACAACTGTGAGTGGTGAGTGTCGGTGCAGTGTGAGGGATTAAGCTGCCTAACTGGCTTCCTGTGGAGGCCAACCTTGTCCTCCATAGCAACTACATTAATGTAATTTATTTGGAGCTTTTTAAGGCTGTCCGTGGGCATAAGTCAAACTGAATTGCTGGGGGCATAAATCTTCAGAAACAGGGAAATGTAAAAGGCCATTCGGTGTGGCTTTGCAATGACCTTATGCTTTCTTAGTGTTAACATTAAATTAAATCCGTGTTTTTATAAGGTGTTAAACTGGTACCCGCTGAATGCAAAAATCATGGGAACAACTCCCAAGTTATTATTGGGGCTTGGCTACAAATAAGAACTGGTTTATCCCACACCACTCCTTGGACCATTTTCATTCTCCAGGATACACCAAGAATGAGGAAAGTTAGATAGATGGCTGCAGCTATTTCACTGTAGCAGGAAAAGAAACTTGCTTTTTCCTCAGTATGTGAAACCCTGTAAGACTTACTCAGGCAAAGAGTTTCAATTTACCTTTTGATAACTTGTTTACAGGATGACTAGAAAAGGTTTTGGGATCAGGTCCCTTCTTGAGACAGGATGTTCAGATCCATGAGTTAGTTTTAGTGACTTCCAGGGGCCCCTTCCAAGCTGCACTTCATAATTTTTAGATAAATTTGATCTAATTCCAGGTTTGCTTCCTTTGCAAAGCACCCAAGTTAGTTAGTGAGTGTGGGTGTGTTAAGTTCTACACTGATGTTAGAAAAGAGCATGTTTCCAGAGGCGCCTTTCATGTGCTGTAATCATCAGTAATGAAGAAAATCTCATTTATTCAAGGTCATGAAAGTATTGTAGGTAACTATCACCAGGTGTTCTAGGAAAATACACCAAAATATCCTAATTCAGTTAATGTGTAATATTCTAAATGCCTGTGACTGGTAGTTTATGTTCAGGGCTTGTTTGAACAATTTAGGCAAATTTCCCCTCAATTTCTCTGGGGATGGAGTGTGAGGGAAAACTTTTTTATATTTGGAGGGAAGAAATCAGAAGCTGTGCTGCTATCAGACATTCTCAAAATGTAATTTAAAACGTCAGCCACTTTGGCAACAGTTTTGTATTGTCTTTTCTAATAGGAGTAATTATTGCACTCAAGGCAAATAATGAATAATTAGAGACTGTTTATTTTCAAAGCTCTCTCCAAGGTGGAAAAATTGTATTGCCTTTTTTTTTTTTCTCCACTTCTCCAAAATACTACTAAGTAGTAATACTTAGGCCTTGTTGCTGCAGCACTTCATAGAGACAAGTGAAAGAGGGGGTGAGAGGGTGAGATGTCCAGAAGAAACAATGGCAGGACAGACAAAGCACAATCCTGGGACTTTGAACAAAAAGGATTTCTGCCACTGATTTTCTAGGCAGTCTTTTACCATCTGATAAGTTTAGAGGGTCTGTGTTTGGTGTTCACCAGTGTCAGGGTGCTGTGGGTGCAGCCTTAGTCCACTCTAACTGTGTATTGCTGCTAAAGGAGTCTTCCCACACTTACAGCTGGAGAAGGAGTTGGTTCAGTTGGGTAATCCTACAGAAATTCCTTTTTTGGGCATTTTTTTTCATTATGATAGATTGGTTTTCCATCTGATCTGCGAGCTGCAGCACCAGCCCACAATTATTAAGTCTAACAAGAGCTAAATCTTAAAAGTGATGCAAAGTGTTGTGAGGCCAGGGACTGAATACCAGCTGAAATGTATGCAGGTAAAGCAACCAACCTGTTCTGCATTTGTTTGTCCACAAAGAACCTTAAAGTCCACCTTTCCTGCCTTTGCAAAACACTTCCTTCCAAGGGGCATTTTATGCTAATCTCTTTAAACACGGTTTCAGCAGTCATGACTGAGTTGTGTAAATAAGAGATACTGTTTTCATAGTGGGATCACTTACAATTGGGCAAGAGTGTGTCTGTTTATAAAATGAAAAGAAATCAAGCAGGACAAGTAGAACTGAGACCCTTATAAAAAGTGCTCAAATGTGTCTTGAGCACTAGAGAAGTGGATTACAACTGTTTGGAAGACTTGTTAAAATATACAGACAGCGCTAACTGCAGACTCCTTGCTACCCCAAGCAAGCTGAAAGGTGTCCATCCTTTACCCTGCCACACACCCACAGGTATGAAATGCTCCCAATATTTTGTTGCCCCAGGGCAACTCACTTGCTCTGCCATTCCAGCACCCTCAGCCCTGTCCACAACTCAGGGGAACTTGGCTGTGCCTGCCACGGTTTCTGTGACAACCATGGGCAGCATAACCCTTTTTAGCACATCCTGGTTTGACAAGTAGGGGGCTGTGGTGGTAATGAAACAAAATCACACAGTCTGTGATGCTGCTGAGATGGATGGCTGTTCAAAAACCGAGCTGCCAGGGCACCCCTTCGTGCTTCTTGCCTTAGCTTTGTCGTCATTTCTTGAGCTGCTTGGTTAGTTCTCCCTCCCTGCCCAACAGCGCTGCTCCTTCATGTTCCAGCTCCTCGTTCCTGACACTGACCTTCCTCTACACCGTTCCCCTTTTTGGACAGCTGTCACCCAGCTCTCCTGCCTCACCTCCCCTTCCTTCTGAATTTTCACCTCCTCCCACAAGAGTGTCTGTGCTGCTTTCCACCTTGCACCTCATATTTAGGGTGCAGTGCTGTAAGGTGTCTGTGAAGCCTGTGAACCTGCATGCTGCTCCCTAAGACCCTGGGAAACAGCAAACACAGAAGGCACAGCAATCATCTGAGGTACTTTTCCAGTTGCTGGAAATGGCAGAAACAAACAAAAACTGCCCTGGCTCTGACCTACACCAGTGTAGATGTTGTAGGATATTTAAACAGACATTTCTGAAAGGTTAGTCCAGAGAGGAAAAAGCGATCCAGGGGTTTGGGCTCTGACTGTGGCTGTGGCAGAGCTGATTTAAATGTCTGTTCTTTCATAGACAGCTTGTGTAGATGTGGGAGTGTCACAGTCTCCTTATGCTTCAGATTCCGTTTTTATAAACATGGGATTGCAGCATTTTTGTTGCAATGAGAAATGCAATAAAACATGAGTATGCTGAGATGCATGGTGATGGAGGGAAAGGGATATACAGGTATTTAGGCTAGATCTCTTTGTTATTTGCTTTTAAATGGTGTCTGTAGACTTAAGGTTGTCTATAGACTTAATGTTTTTCTTTCTGCACTTTCTCAGAAGCCGATGGCTCTCCAGTCTCTGAGATTGAAGGCCCTTTCACAACAGCAGATGTTGCGAGCAACTGTGTTTCCAGCGTTTCTTTCCACGAGCCCGTGTTGTGGATTGCCTCCTATGCTCTCATGAGCCTGTGTGGAGTGATCCTCCTGGTGTTGATCATCCTGCTGCTCATCCCCCCCCGGTGCCAGCACCGCTACACGGACAATGACGTGGTCAATGACGAATCCTCCTTGGTGCGTCACCGGTGGAAGTGAGAAACTTGATCCTGAAAAACCTGGGACTCCCAACACAACAAAGAACAGAGAACTTTGCCAAGGGGAAGAAGCCAATGCCTCGGTCCTTTCTGCGTCCATTGCAAATTGCTGTTGAAATCCCACCAAATATCCTGCATCGTAACTTTTATAGCTTTATTTTCTAACACTGATTCTGAACCAAAGCACTGTTAACCACCTCTGAAGTGCTACGGTACTGGATTTGCTACTGCAGTGCAACGACACTTTATGCTCTCAACAGTACCTTCTTTAAAAAAAAATCTAAAGAAAAAGATTTAAAAAAAATATATATAAAAAACCACACCATCATGTTCTTCCACTGTCTGAACAAAATTGTCCATCTCTCTTTCACAACAAAAGGACCTGTCAGTATTTTCTAACTAATCCAGCCCTGACTGTAGAAAAAGAGAAAAAAAAAACTTTAATAATCTTTCTTATTAATTGCATTAAATGAATCCTGCTTTCTGTTTACACCACTTTATTTTGAAACTGTGCTTATGGTGCGGGGGAGGGAGAAAAGTCAGGCAGAAAAGTAAGCAGCAGAGAGAGAAAAGCAAGTGAGGTCAAGAGGAAATGTTGGTTTGTGGTTTCTTCTCCTCAAGATCACTGCTGCCACTTGAGAGGGTCACCCTCCCTGAGTGTTACGAAACAGCTCGAGGTGGTGAAAACTGGGTAAACAAACTTGTTCAGCCTTAGTGTAAAACAAGACTACCTCTCTTAATTCACAAGGATGCTACCACTGGTGAGCGTGTGGCTTAGGACTGGTCTTGAAGCACAAGATGCTCCATCCAACCAAATGGAACTACTTGGCTTTGAATTCTTTGGATTTTATAAAAATTAGTACTTCGTGACTTTCCACTTTGGTGCACAAACAAAACAAAACAAAAAAGGCCTTTCAGTTTTCCCCCTCCTGTGGGAGTTTGTTTGGTTTTTTTGAGTTGAGGCTGACTGATACCTAGAAAAGGCTGATCTGCATATGTATGGGCAGGCAATAAAGCAAAGGTTTGTGTTCTGTGATGTCTTTCTCTATTTCCAGTGAGTGTGTAACTAAAAGGAAACAACAAAATAAGAAAGACAACCTTTTTTTTTTTTTTTTTTTGGCCGAGCTCAGCAACTATGAGTTCAAAAGAGAAGTATCTGTCTTTATGGACAGGCCATGAAATGAAAGTCTTAATACTGGCTTGTTTTCCAACTCGAGCAGCAGTTGGAGGTGTTTAGTTTTAGCTTCACCGCTGTGTCAATCAAATGAAAAGTGTGTGTGGACTGACTGGCTGAAAACAAACATATGGTAAGACTGAGAACAATAGTGGGAGAGAGCAGGGAGGAGTAGATTTGACCAGCTTTCTATTCTGCAAGTGCAGATCTTAATGCTGGGGTCAGAAGTTGGGCTTTTCTTTGCAGATAGGACAGTTTTTCTTGTCTCTAGTCAGTGAGCATTGCAGGACCTCCATGGCTTCTCTGTAACACTGGCCAGTGTTTGGATTTGAAAGATAAACGATGCAAGGCTGAGGATTTCACTGATAACTATTAGTTATCTTGGGAGGTATTTTTATATATATGACAAAAAGGAAAAAGTTATTCCTTTGCATTCTGATAGCAGAGCAGTTTGCATATCCATGTGGGAAACCAGGAGAGAAAAAAAAAAAAAGGAAGCTTAACTCTGAATTTCCCAATGCCTTGCCTAGACAGTTTTCTGCCTATAATCCCTTCACATAGCTCTCTGATTCACACTGCATCTGACTCTGCATGGAATAAGGAAAGATTTCTGAGGGGTTTTTTTCAGGAGTGGTGCATTTACAGAGGTGCACGTCATGTGTGTGAAAATAAAACACTGCGGGGGTATTTTTAACTAACTTGTGTGTTTCACATCATAACTGGCAGGGCCTGTGGTTTTCTTTCCCTTCTAATACTTGCACTCTCAGATTGCTTGGCTCAAAAGAGTGAAATAATTGATGTGCTGATCCAACGTCTGAAAATTATTTCTCTTGGAATTCGGAGTTGGAAACAGACGGGAATTTTTGAGTTTGTCTCTTTCTTCCTCTGCCTCTTGGTTTTTAAGAGGAGAAAAATTGTGAACCACAAGACATATAAGAAACCACAGAGCTTAGCTATTTTCCCAGTGTTCCGTTTTCCATATCTCTTAATATCTCATAACTATGATTTTGAGTTCCATATTGTCCTCCTGGGTTTGGCTTTACACATAACAAATAATTTTCAAGTCGTATTCCTTCTTTTTCTACAGTATGGCGATAGAAGTAATGCTTCTTCTTCAAACAGAAACAGTCTGAATTTTGAATTGATACAGTGTTAAACAATAAACCCTTTTTCAATTCAGAAAGTAACAACACTTGTTTCCTATTAAAAGGTTTCATCACCGCTTCCCTCACCCCAGCCCCTCCTATCTCCTTACCACAAAGAGTTTTAGGAAGGAATTTACTGGGAAAGATTCTCAGTATGTTTCTAGTGCCAGCTGAGATTTCTTGTGAGTTGGTTAACAAAAGTCTTTTTAATGCACTGGATTTCATATAAAAGCCTTTCAGTTTTACCCTTTCACTTTGAATGTCACTGGTCAAGATATTTTAATAAAAACACTTAAATTATAGGAGCAATAATCAAGCAGCACAGAGGAAATACTAATATGTTCCTGAGCTTTCATGGCACTCCTTGCTACTAACATTTGGCTTACAGTAAAAATGCTGTTAGTGACATCTGCTAGCAGCACAAACTTCATCTTAGCTTGTAAATTGATACTTACACTGGCAGATATTCAGGTGAGTATTGCTTTGTTGCTCTGGCAACAAGAAGAGCAATAGAAACCCCTGAGGGTTCATTTTTAGCCTACAGCACATTAAGAAAAATAATGCTCTTGAGCATTTTTGTGTGGAAGATGAAATACAGTGGCAGACTACAGTATTACCAAGTGTGTGTCACTAGTGATCTCTTTCCCTGATATCTTTAAAGGGAAAAAAAATACGCTGGGAGGTATTTTGTGTTCCTGTTACTAACTTCAGATGTAAGATTAAACCACACCTTAAAAAAAAAAAAAAAAAAAAAAAAAAAAAGGAAGTGAGGGTATAAAAAAACCAGAGCACTGAGTAAAAATGGTGCTGGAAAATATCCTGTATTTATTGTGGAAGTCAGGAATGCTCCAAGCCACAGCACTCCACATCATTCCTTGTACAGGGATCAATATTTCTTGCTGAACCAGCATTTTTCTGATGTGGGTGTAATATCACATACCATGAGAGTGTCATAAAGCTGTGTTTCATTGGGTGCAGCCTTTTAGGTAATTGATACTATCAGTGCAATCATGAGGGATTTGAAGGGATGTGATTTGAGTTCCACTAGTTAAACCTGAGTTCAGGCAGGAGAATATGTTGGTTCTACCCCACTGCCTTCACAAGTTTTAGAAATGTTATCATGGGCTTTTTTGGCTCAATTTAAATGCTGAAGAAAATAGATGAAAGGTTGGAATAAGCCTTTTGTTCAGGTTCTGTAAAAGAAGTCAGGTAGAGGGGATTGTTTTGTTTTTAATCTGAAAGGGCTTTGTGTTTAGGATTTGTATGTTGGATCAGCTCAAACCCAATACATCAAGACAGTGCTGCATTCCAGTTCCCAGCTCTGATGCTATGCAGGTTAACTCGAGGTGATCACAGAAGTGTGGGGTTTGGGGTCTCTGGTTAAACATTTCAGGTGCCCAACAACAGTTAAATTTATCAGCTAAAATCAACCTGTGAGCATCCTACCCAGTTCCTTTTGGTGTATTGGCTGGTTTTGCTCAAGGGTGAGCCATTTTCCTGTTAACCTTGTCCTTTTAAATATTAAAAGGTTTAGGAGAGTTACTTAACACAACAGATTTTCCCAGAGAGAGAGGGAGAAAGAGAGAGATCAATCCTTAAAGTTTCTGATAATCCAGAATGATTGTGCTGCTGAAAGCTTTAATTTCTGTAGGGCTTTCCATCAGCTAGGTTGGTTGGTTGTGATATCCTGATCTCAGACATATATATAAGTAGCAATATGAGCTGTGTAGTGAAGGGTGCTGGTACAGTGACCTATGGAGCTGCAAGTGAAAGGAAATTATGAAAAGAAAGAAGTAAGCTACCTTTAACTTCATTAAAAATTGCAGGAGCATAACAGATGGATCCTTTTAAGAAAGGGCTGTACAATTTACCAAGACATTAGTTCCTGTCAAACTTGACTCTGTGATTGATAAATTGTTCTTTTCTGGCTGCTGTAGTTCTTGCTGCTGTTCAGAGAAGTGAAGACAGATTGGTAACGGGATACGAGCAATCTCTGAGCCAGTTAGATTTTCTGGCTTCTGAGGCCTAATTAGATGTTGATCCAGGCTTGTGAGTAATCCAGCACCCTGGTAATAGCTCCTCAGGAATGTTAGCAGAAATAGAGGTGTTGGTTTCAGCCGAATGAACGGCGGATGAGATGCATCTGTCCCACAAAAGCCACTGCTGTGAACTTGCACTTGTGGTGAGCTGAAGGTGGCTGGAGGGGTGAAATGTGGAGAGGTTAAATAACTGAGTCTTCCACCAGGCTTCCAGAGCAAGGCTGAGGCCCCTTGGAAGAGCCAAATGGGAGAGTGACAGCGGTTGCTGACAGGCTGCTGTAGGAGTAACATCAGTCAGCCCCCAAGGTTCCCTTGCCTGAATATTTTGAAAACCAGCATTCTGAGGTGCCTGTTGGTGCTACTGGGAATTGTCCACTCACAGATGAATAAGGGGCACTATCATCTTTAAGCAGAATCATTGCCCAGTTGCTGAATATTCCCCTCTCTGTCTAACAAAGCACACAGTGCTGTGTCTCACCCCCCAACAATATCTGTTTGTAGGCAACAAGACACGTTGTCGTAAAACATGTTGACATGTTGACAGTGACTGTACAGGAGTAATAAAAGAATGTTTTGTGTTTGCTTTGGGTGGATATTTGTGGTCGAGTAGTCTTTGAAATACTGGGAGTTTTACACTGGACTGCAAAGGCACATCCAGAGTTTCTTTTAAGTCAGCCAAAAAGTAAAACACAGACGGTAATTTTCAGCATTTAAAAGGAAGTAACCCTCAATAAGTATTGTCTCTTTTTTCTCTTTTTGATTGATTGTAATCACCTAACATAAATGTATGTTAGGGTAGTTGCTGTCCTACTAATTCTCTGGTTGTAAATCTGATTTTTCTGATTGTCTTCTGGCCCGCTCAACCCCTCTGCCCCCACAAAAAAATTCCTAAAAGCTCCATGTCCTCCTAAGAAAAGATGCAGATTTCTTTTTATCATTCACAGACCTGTTTTAAAGTAGTTTTTAAGGCTTTAGAAATTAACTCCATGTTGCAAATACTTGGCAGGAGTATTAGGAGAAGAATTCAAGACCAAACTTCATCTTTTCCAAAGGTCCCTGAATTTTTCCTGTGTGCAAATAACTCCTTTGTGCATTTGCCTACATTTCCTAGACCTCTTTTGCTTCCCACTTGGAAATACTCTTGGTATTCCTCGCTGGTCCTGTTTGTAAATTCTTTGTGCTTAGAAAATACAGTGGTGGAGAGAAGGACCACGAGGAGCTGTGGGAGTTGGTGCCATTCCTTAAGCAGGTGACATCTTCTTTCTTGAAGGCCTTGGTGGTTTTTGTCCAGCACCAACTGCACTGGACCATTATGGTCTGTTGGCTCATTTTGGTGGCAGAGACACTTCTGCTCCTTCCACCTGAGCAACTGGACCTGCTCTGATTTTACAGCAAGGTGTACTTGGGCAAAACACTTAAATAAACATTGTGTGTAACAATCCTCTCTCATACCGCCCTTTGAGGAGGGAAGTTTTCACAGAGCCAAGTCAAACCTGCAAAGGGGATGTTTATTCCTGTGTTTTCAGGGAGGGATTATGTAGGTGAGTGTTTAAATGGCTGCATTTGCAACATAGATGTCCTTTGAAAAATTCTGTGGGGGGAAAAAAATGAACTTGAGGATGTTGAAGTGGTCCTAAAAAGACAACTGACAATTTCTTGGCAGCACAAAGGCATGGAT